TCCTCCTTGACCTTTCATCACCTGAGGGACGTCGTGTCATCAGCAATGACCTCGACAAGGCACAGAGGCGGCAGCTGGAAGCTGCCCGTAAGGCGGCTCTGATGCGCGCTTATCTACGGTCATTCATTGACCCTCGTGTGGAATATGGCTTCACAGCGGATCCCGCTGTGAAAGCGAAGGACGTGGTAACTCGATCGTTACGCCTCCACATCATCGGGCCCCCGGCCGTTACGGAAGATGAACATGCCGAACGAAAAGCTCTTCGAGATCGTTTCTTGGATCCACAAAAATTTCCGTTGGAAGCTTATTGCACTTGTCTACGAGTGCAACGAGGTGACTCTCTTGTACTCGCAATGTGGACAATACCTGTAGTGCTCGCCCCTGGCGAAAGCGCTACAGATGACGAAGCGCTCTTTGAGCGATGGGTGCAACGGCACTGGGAACCTATCTGTATATGTTACAGTTGAGCCACAAGGAAGTGGACATGCGTGCGATGCGACACCTCCGCTTTGTGTTTGTCAAACTCAAGGCACGTCGTCAATTTCCTTCGGATTGTCGCCCTGTGACGTATGGATTAACAACCCCCTAATGCTCCCGCGAGTTCTGTATCTGCGACCGCAAAATGCTCAGGGCCACCGCTTGAGCTCAGCTCATGGTCTTTCTACTTCCCTGGCTATTGCCGGGAGGCGTGAAGCGTCTGATGACGCGGGGCGTCCTGATCTTTCTAGTCAAAAGCGTCCACGGCGTCTGGGCAATCTTGCCGAAGTGGCGTTTCAAACTCCCACGATTTTACGGAGTCGGGATATCCCCACAACTTCACCAGATATTGGGTCCGGACTGGTGATAACGTCGTCTCACTAGAGGCTCCACGTGATAGTGGACGTCACCGTTCTCATCGAGAAGAGTCGGTGGCGGGCGGTGACGACCGGGTCGACCGCCGCCCGGTGACTCGTGATTCTCTTCGAGCCCTTGAGGATGAGATCCTTCGTGATCGGAGCTTCGCTGAGCGTCACGCTGAATAAGCATATCGCTGTGCGGACGCTCTTGATGATTCGAAGTACGTCGTACGCCGATGCCTCACCTTAAGGACTACCGCGCTATGTCGGAACGACTCCTAGCCGCGGAGCAGTCGTATGCGTCGCTGCATGCGACGGTGGAGCGCTTGGCGTCGTAAGAAATGGAGGTTGTTGCACTCCGTGCTCAAAATCAGTTGCTGGTTCAGCTTCTGGGTGGCCGAGGGCCCGTGGAATCTACTCTGGCGCCGTAAGAAATGGAGGTTGTTGCACTCCGTGTTCAAAACCAGTTGCTGATTCTGCTTCTGAGTGGCCGAGGGCCCGTCGGATCTGCTCTGGCGCCAGCCCTTCCGCGTTCACATGCGCCGGATCCCGATTCGGCTTGTGCAAGCCCGCCTCAAACACCGGGTGGGTACGCATCCGTTTTGGAAGGTTCAGCGTGTACGCTAGGCCCCGCTTGGCCACAACCTTCAACGGTCCTATAAACCGTGGACGAAGCTTTGTGCGGAAGATAGCAGAGGCTGCATGTGTAAAAAGGTTTTAAGAGTTTATTAAAACTAGGTCTCCGACCTTAAAGCTTTTCACTTTGCCTCTTTCTTTTTCATCTGCATATTCTTTCGGCAGGTCTTGGCTTTCAGCCATCGCATCGCGAACGTGTCGTAAGACACTTAGTCTGGTCGGCAAGAAGTCATCAACTTCTTTGCGGATAGTGAAGGGGGCTGACATCAGCTAGCCGTTCGGCTATTCCTCCCCCGCCAAGCCCTGAGCCATGGGATGGCGGCGTCAGCGGAACGCGAGGGTGAACCATCTTGTTCACGTAGAATGACGTGTAGCCGGTAGATGATTGCAGTGCATTGTTCAGCGCGAACTATACGAGTGGCAACATGGCTTTCGGCGTCTCAGCGCAGACGCTGCGAAGAGCGTCTTCGGTAACGCGATTTACCCTTTCGGTTTGGCCATCGGTCTGCGGATGATCCGTCGTCGACATATCCAACTTGGTGCCTACCACCTTGAAGATAGCCGACCAAATTTTTTTCGTGAAACGGGGGTCTCTTTCAGAGACAATCGACTCTGGGAGTCCGTGTTGTCGAGAAAAACGATTTAAAGACAGCGTTGCTGTACCGACTCCGTCGATGGGGTCTGGCACCGCCGCCAAAATGAGCCATCTTTCTCAACGAATACCACGACACCCGTGTTGCCCGCCGAATCTTTCGGCAGGCCAAACAGAAACTCCAAACTCATGGACTGCCAGCACCCAGTGGGTACCGGTAAGATGGATAGCGGCGCAGCCACATTTGGAGAGAGTTTCACCCGTGGACACGTCTCACACGTGCGCACATACATGCTTGTCCATTTGTACAGCTTTGGCCACCAATAGTGGTGACTCACAGAGTTGAACGTTATTTCACGACCGAGATGACCACTGAGTGGCGTGTCGTGAGCCTCATATAGGATGCGATGTTTCAAATTCCTATCATGAGGAACCACAATTCGTGGTGTACCCGTTGATTCGGTGCTATAATATAGCAAGCCGTTATTCAACGAATATTATGTCTCGGTGAGGCCAGGGTGAACAGGCAATCCACTTCGTCCGGTTGAACCCTCACTGTCCGCTTATTGAAGCTCCGATGTTATCTAAAACATCCGATGAAGAGCTGCTAACCCCACAGTTTTTGTCTAGTGGATAACGTGCCACTCCACGCGCATCTGAAGGGCCGTGCCCAAGATGCCTCGGACTCTGTCTGACCCCGCCATCAATGGAATGCAGCGACTGCTTCGCAACAAGAGCAGTGCTCAGTGGTTTACGTGCCACTTCACGT